AGGAGGGTTGTGATTTATGAACTTCCAAACGACGATTGATAAATGGCGTTTGAAAGTCCCTTGGCGGCGGGCAAGTTGTTACGTATGAAATTTAAAATTAGGTTAAAAAGCCCAAGGTAAAAGAAAAAATGGGCCTGCCAATAGAGTTGATCGAACTGGCTGAAGGGCACCGTGGGGAACCCAGGGAAAATAGGTTTATTTCTAAGGAAAATGCAGGTCGGGAGGTCCTCAGGTCATGAGGTCTTCAGGTCGGGAAGTCCGCAGGACGAAAAGATCCTCAAGTCGGAAGATCCTCAGGTCGGGAGGTTCGCAGGTCGGGAAATCCGCAGGTCGGAAGATCCTCAGGTCGGGAGGTCCGCAGGTCGGGAAGTCCTCAGGTCGGGATGTCCGCAAGACGGAAAGTCCGCAGGTCGGACGGTCCTCAGGTCGGGAGGTCCGCAGGTCGGGAAATCCGCAGGTCGAAAGATCTTCAGGTCGGGAGGTCCGCAGGTCGGAAAGTCCTCAGGTCGGATGGTACTCAGGTCGGGAGGTCCGCAGGTCGGGAAGTCCTCAGATCGGGAAGTTCACAGGTCGAAAAGTCATCAGGACGAAAAGTCCTCAGGTCGGGAAGTCCTTGGGTCGGGAAGTTCTCAGGTCGAGAGGTCCTCAAGTCGGGAGGTCCTCAAGACGGAAAGTCATCAGGACGGAAAGTCCTCAGGTCGGGAGGTTTGCAGCTGGACCAATAAGTCGAATGGTCTGTTAGTCGGGAGGTTTGCGGCTGGACCAAACAAGTCGGATGGTTTGCAAGTCGGGAGGATTGGCAGTCAGACCAATTCGGTTGTAGATTGGCAGTCGGGCCAAAAGGGTGGAAAGTCTGTGGTCGGCTCAAAGAGTGAAAATAGAGTGATAATTTTGGTCTGCTAAAGACACGTGTCAGCAGAAGAAGGGTTGGCAGACGGTTGAAAATGAGACGTTGTAACCGTTCGGGCGACGGTTTCCAGTACAGTTTCTCAAGGAGTATTTAAGGATTTGGATTTTTCTGGAGAAGACATCTTCAATCAACTTCAACAAAGCAAAGTCAGATTCGGGGATCACCACTTTAAATTTTCAGCATTTTAATTTCCAGTTAATTATCTTATGTACCATACAGTGTTTAGAGATTCCTAATCTCAGACGCTAATTAATCAAGTTTAAAGATATTTTCCATATTTTTTAATTTTACTTTTTGTTTGTTGAAAAAATACATCAACACCCTTAATATGTTATTATTTGTTTCACGTATACATAAATATATTTTATACTGCAATAATTATAGAAGATTTTAATATATTATTTATTAAATTATAATTTTTATAAATTAAAATTAACTAATATTATTTGTAAACTATAATTATATTTTTATTATTATTTTATTTTTATATTAAAACTAAATAAAATAGAATAAATTTACTAAAAATTATAAATATAATAAATTAATCAATAATTAATATAATAAATATATATACCAAAATTTTATTATTTTATATTTTACATCATTCTTAGTAAAAAATATTCATATTTCTTAATAAAAGTATATACTATTATTTTTCTCAATCTAAAATTAATTAAAAAATATTTTACAACACATTCGTAATTTCAAATAATTAATAATAAAAAATTTAAAATTTTTAAAACTAAAAAACACAATTAAAAAATTTTAAAAGTTAAAATATAAATGTCCGTAGTTGTCATTTTACAGCTAATATCAAACATCTATTTTACCAAATACTTTTATACAAACAACTAATTGAATCAGCTAGTCAAACCAACTAATTGAATCAGCTAGTCAAACCAACTAATTGAATCAGCTAGTCAAACCAACTAATTGAATCAGCTAGTCAAACCAACTAATTGAATCAGCTAAACGCTAACAGCTAAAAGTTATAAGCTGATTGCCAAACAACCCCGTATAAAAAATTTTAGTTTGATATTTTACCATCCGATACCATATTAATAATTTAGTATACCAAATTTATGGATAAAACAAATTCAAAATCAAATTTCACTATTAACTAATTTTCCAATCACATTATACCAAATCAAACATTAACTTCTTTTTTTTAGTATTACATTAAAAAATAATTGAAGATTTTAAACATTACAAAAATATCTATTTATATTTATATTAAATATTTATTTTAATTTTGGATAAACTGTTTTTTTAGTCCCGTAACTGGACCCCTTTATCATTTTAGTCCCGTAAGTGGAGCATGTCGCAAACTAGTCCTATAAGTGAAGATTTTTCGCTGTTTTAGTCCTCCAGCGCCGAAGACGCCCGCGTGGCTCGCCGGAGGTGACATGTCCGCCAGGTGTCCCGCCAGGTCAGCGACACCTGGCGGACACGTGGATTTATTTATTTTTTTTCATTCTATTTATTTATTTATTTTTAATTGGACCAAATAAAAAAATAAAAAAATACAAATAAAATTAAAAATAAGTTTTAAAAAAAAATTTTAAAAAATGAAAAAAAAATTAAAAAATCCACATGTCCGCCAGGTCAGCGACACCTGGCGGACACGTGGATTTATTTATTTTTTTTCATTCTATTTATTTATTTATTTTTAATTGGACCAAATAAAAAAATAAAAAAATACAAATAAAATTAAAAATAAGTTTTAAAAAAAAATTTTAAAAAATGAAAAAAAAATTAAAAAATCCACATGTCCGCCAGGTCAGCGACACCTGGCGGACACGTCAGCAAGCCACGCGGGCGTCACCGGCGCCGGAGGACTAAAACAACGGAAATTTTTCACTTATGAGACTAGTTTGCGACAGGCTCCACTTACGGGACTAAAATGATAAGGGGTCCAGTTACGAGACTAAAAAAAACAGTTTACCCTTTAATTTTTATTATTCAAATTTCTAATTCAACTCTCAAATTTGCAATCAAATATACAATAAAGTTAGAAAAAATAATAGTTTAACTAAATGTAATTAAATTTTCATTTTAATTAATATTATATTAGAAAAATGGACTAATTTTATAAAATAAATTAAAAAGAAAAAATATATTAATATGGTGGAAATGAGGGAGTAATTTATTTTGTAAAAGTAATTAGATTAATTAATGTTTTAATTGTATTTTATGTTGTTAATTATTACTAAATAAAAAAATAGACTAATTTGGTGGGACAATTAAAAATGGAAAAGTGGACCAATTTAGTGGGATTGAGGGAATATAATATAAGTAAATAAAAAAATAATTTTATTTATTTATAATTAATATAAACTAATTTGATAAAAAAATATTTATTTTTTTAGGAAATATAGAAATAAAAGGATTTTGAATGAATCCTATATGATTTATGATATTATGTCCCAAACATCCTGTGATATATATATTTTTTATTTGTCCCAAACTCACTGAACATTTCCAAATTTAGAAATAATTAATAATAGTTATATACATATATTAATATACACTTCATTTTATCCCATTACATCTATCAAATAAAATAAATAAATAATCATTCTCCCTCCAATCACATCACTTAATATCCAAATTATGTCAAAGTATAATATTTAATACTCCCATCTAAATTCTCGCGCTATACACAAATATTGCACGGTGTTTAGGACGGAGAGAGTATTATGTAGTTAATTAAATTGATTTATATATGTTAAGTATGTATTGATTAAGTTTTACCAAAAATAAAAAAATATCAATTATTATAGGACAGACAAAAATGAAACATATGTTGTATTGTTATGCGACAGAGAGAGTATTATGAAAAATATATAATTGTAATTTAAATTATTCTATAATATATAAAAAATAATATTTTTTTGGAAAAAAATCTTTTTTAGTCTCGATATAACCAAAACTCATCAATTTTGATCCCAATATAAAATTTTTATCAATTTTGGTTACAATATAACCAACTCATCATTTTTGGTCCCAATACAAATTTTTTTATCAATTTTAGTCTCAATATAACCAAAACTCATCATTTTTGTCCCAATATAATCAAACTTTATCTTTTTTAGTCCCACCGTCAACAAACCGATGGAAAATGTTGATGTGAGAAGAAATCAAACCTTAAATTTATATTCGAAAAAATTGCACAATCTTGCAAGTACACGTCAGCATTTTCTGTCGGTATGTTGACGGTGGGACCAAAAAAGATAATATTTGATTATATTAGGACAAAAAATGATGAGTTTTGGTTATATTGGAACTAAAATTGATAAAAAATTTATATTGGGACCAAGAATGATGAGTTTTGGTTATGTTGGGACTAAAAATGATAAGTTTTGGTTATATTGAGACCAAAATTGATAAGATTTTTATATTGAGACCAAAATTGATAAATTTTGGTTATATTGAGACCAAATATAAATTTTCCCTATTTTTTATTTTTTTATTATGTAAAATTATACTTATACTCCCTCCGTCCGGTTAGAAAGTATACATATTTCTATTTTGTGATTCCAATTACAAAGTAAACATTTAATTAAATATCATCGTTACTTTTAAAAAAAAAAACAAGACTAAAAATATCATTATACTATTTTTAACTACTAATTATAATTAAAATATTATTATTTTTTAAATACTGCGCCGAAATAAATGTTTAATTTTTATGTGTAGACAGAGGAAATATTATTATATCTAGATTACTTTATTTTTAAAATTAAATTGAATGTATAAATATTAATTAATATTTTATTTCTACGTTATTTCCTATATAATATTTACAATAAAAAAATAATTTAAAGAAATTCAATATCAAAATTTCTCCAAACTAAAATAAATTTCAAAACTCTTATCCTTATTGAACAAATATTTTTCAGCATTTTTCTAGTATATTTGTTTGGTATGTTAAATATTTTTTAATAATATTTCATCGCTAGTAACAGTAACATAACAGTAATAGCATGCACTTGGGCTGGCCACAATGGGTGGGCTGAACAGCAGCAAAACCTCTATATGGCCTTTTTATTTATTTATTTATTTTTTATTTTTACCTTCAAGACTTTTTTGCAGCCCAACGTAAATAAATTCCAAGGCCTTCCTCGCGTCGCGTCGCCACCATTTCAACCTCCCTCCATCCATCCCGGCGCCTGCATTCGCCGCCATGCCAACCGTCAGCGTCGGCAGAGATCGCCTCTTTCAAGCCCTAGGCCGCACCTACAGTCAGTCACTATACTGCTTCTTCATTTTTCCTGCCCTTGCCTTGTTTCATTTTCTTGTTATCCGACTGTTGTTTCGTGCAGCTCAAGAAGAGTTTGAAGATTTGTGCTTTAAGTTCGGCATTGAACTCGATGATGTGGTATGTAGGTGATGGCGGCTAAAATTCCGATTCAGTTTTCGCTACTTCCTTGACTCAATTTTTGATATTTTCCGTTCTCAGCATTCTGCAATCTTCATAGCAAGTTTTTTTTTTTTTTAAACCTTCTGGTGTCGAATTTTTATGCTCCCAGACCACCGAAAAGGCGATTATTCGGAAAGAGAAGCACTTGGAAGAAGAGACAGAGTCGTCTAATGACGACGAAGTTATATACAAAATTGATGTCCCTGCAAATCGGTAAATTGATATTGAATTGCTGGATTAATCAATTTGCACTTCTTCTAACTAGTAATGTGGATTAGTTACAAGTTTGGGGGAATGATCACAATTTGTATGAGTGCTTTGCTGGATCAGCCTGCGCGCGCGCACAAATGGTGACTTTACTTTCGTTGGATTTTAATTTTGTGACAGATATGATCTACTTTGTCTGGAGGGATTGGCACAAGCCCTTCGTATCTTTAATGGGGTCGATCCAATTCCTACCTATCATTTGGCAAGCATAAAAAAGGAATCTATGTGCAAAATGCACGTGCAACCGGAGGTTTGCATTTCTCAAGCCAACTTGGTGTTTTTATCTATTGATTATTCCTATTTTCTTAAATTGTGCTGGATGTAATTTCTATCACTGCAGACATCAAGGATTCGTAAATATATTGTGTGTGCCGTATTGAGAGGTGTTACTTTTGATGAGGCTCGGTACAATAGCTTCATTGATCTGCAAGATCGACTCCATCAAAATATCTGCCGGTAATGCTGTTGATGTCTCTCATTTAACCATTGAATATCTCCTAACTGATTCCTGCCAATGAGAAGATGGTTTCTTTTTATAAGAAGTTTTTAGTTCATGAACTTATATTAACAATTATAGTTTGTTATTCAATAGAATGCTTTGTTAAGGATTGTGGTATGGGTGAGCACCTTGTATTTGGAACTTTCTCATATTTCCCTTTTGTTTTTCTTTTCTCGTATGTTTCTCTCTGCAGACGAAGAACTCTGGTTGCTATAGGAACACATGACTTGGACAAAATTGATGGGCCTTTCACATATGAGGTACTGTGTAATACTGTAAAGTAAGCATGGCCTATGATTACTCTAATTGGGATCCATACCATTTCCGCTGATTTTTCTCTATTAGCACCTTCAATCTGTAAGAAGCTTGTTATGCTGTTTAGTATGGAGTTTTTAGCAATATAATTTTGATGTTGAGATCAACAATCCACTCTGCTTACTTATTATTGTTGTTGTTGTTATTGTTGTTGTTGCTGTTGTTTTTATTGTTATTATTATTAATTTTTTATTTTTTATTTTTTATTTTTACATGTTAATTTGTATCAATTACAGCAGGATGATAGTTCCAACTTCATATTCTTACCCTTCTTCATACCTCATTGTATTCCATTTTGAGATTGTAGTTTGTTTTTCTGGTATGAAATTAAGGATCACTGAATGGGGTCTGCTTGAATTTCAGGCATTGCCACCAACAGAAATAAACTTTGTTCCACTGAAACAGGTACTTATTTTTGTTTGATCAATACTGAATCTAGCACTCTCTTATGATAAATCAAATATTACTGCCACATTTTGTTCTTGATTTCCTTTGTTCCTGTTCTTTCTTAGTTTTTTTTTTTCCATTTTCTTTACTATGCATAGCCACGGTTCCCAATAAAAATATATTAATTTCTCTCACAAAACTTCACATCCAACCACTAGCTAAACACAAAATAAATATAAAAAACACAAACCCAAACACACCCTTATATTTTATGTAGTTAGATCAATATTCGATATGGATATGCTCTTTCGTGTATTTCATGTATTGTCATGTGTAAATATATTTGTTTATATATGTTTCAATAGGGCTGAAAAGGCTTTTTCCTGTAGTTCACTTGCTCTTAGTGTCAATATTATTGTATGTGTGTTCAGGCTAGTGTTTTGGGTTCTTTGTTCTTTGTGATCAACTTTTTAATCTACAGTCTCATAGCATATATTATGTTGAAATTGAAATGGTTGAATCTGATTTTGTACAGGTGAAAAACTTCAGAGCAGATGAGTTAATGGAGTATTACAAGGTTTATCCTATGTTGCAATTCACATCTTTTCTTATTCTAGTTAGCATTCTCTCATGTGTTTGTTTGCTATTGATTTCAGTTTTTTAAGTATAGCTTTTTGTTATATCATTTGGCAGTCTGATTTGAAATTGAAGAAATTCTTGCATATTATTGAGGAATCACCAGTCTTCCCTGTCATATATGATCATAACAGGTAGTCTGATTTGTTTAATAATCTCAATAACATTATAGTTATTTTCCTTGCTTATGTGTCTAACTTTACGAAATAGTGTTATCATTGGCAAGTTTTTAGATCAAGGACTGAATTGTATTACCTCCCTTACACAATAATTCGTGAGTATGTATAGACATTCATAAGATTGAAATGGATAGACACAAATTTAATGCCTAGTACTAATTAAATCTAATAATATCTAACACCGATACACAACTATTACACATGATAAGGCAGATCCTATAGTTTCAGCCATCAAAGACAGTAACTTTCTGGCCTTGATCATGGCCTTGAGACTAGTAAACCTTAATTGTTGCCTACTCTGCCCTTGGTATCCCCCCCCCCCCCCCCCCCCCCCCAGTTGATGCTGGTTGACCATCAATTTGTCAACCAGATGCTGAGAGAAAGTATTCAGCAATGTGAAGATCTGACGATATGGGGAAGAGAGATGAATAAGCATCGTATGCTTCTTGGATAGAATGACAATCAACTTCAATATGTTTTGTACACTCATGAAAGATGGGATTAGCTTCAATTTGAATAGCACTAGTATTATAAACATAATTGGAGTAGGCTCTAGTTGGGGGAATTTAATCCTGCCAAAGAGGCCTCGATGCCAAATGATCTCAGAACATGCAAATGACACGGCATGATACTCTGATTCAGTGGAGGACTTAAACATCATATCTTGCCTTTTTCTTTTCCAATAAATAAAATAATTACCAAGAAACATACACCAACCAATAATGAAATGCCTAGTATTCGAATAGCCAACCCTTAGCATCGCTATAAGCAACCAAATGTATAGGAGAATTTCCAGAGAAGAAAAAGGTTCACAATAGGGAGATCCTTGTACACGAATAATGCAACGAACAATGATCAGATGGTGGTGTGTAAGTGATTGCATAAACTGGCTAACTTTTTGACTTACAAAGGAAATATTGGGCAGAGTTATAGTTAGATAGTTGAGGCTTCCCATCAATTGTCTATGTAAAGTGGGCCTGAGAGAAAACCACCCTCATCATGGTTATCTTTAACATTTACTGCCAAGAGACTAGCCAAAGCAATCAATTCTTAGATACATTTATGTTGAGTAATAAAGTTCTAGTTGGAGTAGATTGTACTTTGAGACCCCAAAAATTATCATAGAAGACGCAAGTCCTTTATTCGAAAGGAATGTTGAAGATTCTCATAAAGTTTGAGCTATAAATTCAGAGTCATTCCCTATGATAACAATATCATCAACATATACTAAAAGCAAAACAAGTCCTTTAGCAGACTGGCAAAGAGAAAAAAGGAGTCACACTGATTCTGAACGGATGATAAGCTAATAAGTGTAGAACATGAAAAGGTGTAGAAATTAACCTTAAAGGGGGAGTCATATAAATTTTCTTGAAGTTGCCCATGTAAAAGAACATTCTGAACTTCTATCTGTCATAAGCTTGTAGAATTACTAAAAGCTATAACAGGTATAACTATGGTCATCTTTGCTAGAGGAGCAGAGGTCTCCCCATAATCCACTTCATACTCTTGCCTATGACGGGGAGCCACTGGACAAGCCTTATCTTTCAGTAAGCGATTAGCTCTTAATTAGGAGAATACACCCATTTGCAACAAATGAACTTGATATCATCGGGGCAATATAATATCCCAAGTATTATTCACTTGAAGAGCTTAATGTTCTTTGCTCATACTTGTTCACCCAATATGCTTGTTTAGTTGCCTGTGAATAGGATATAGGAATTGTAGTGTCTGTTATAGTGGAAGAGAAACCATACTTATCAGTTGGATGGCAAAGACTCAGAGTCGTAAGAGAAGTAGGAGCAAAATTTGGATTTGGATCAAGAAAAAGGTTGTGATGATGACGCCTATATTTTTGATAAGAAACCCTTGGTTTACATCAGTATGTTGGCTTCAAAGCTAATGAGAATAACACCTTCATGTATAGAAACATTGTATGGAAAGTAATACTCCTTTTCAAAAAAAGAATAATAAAAGAAAATGCATTCTGAGAAATGTCTAGAGAATTAGCATTGGCATCATAACATAAAAAGACCATTATGAGTTGTATTGTAACCCCTAAACACACATTTTGAAGCTTGAGTTTTAAGTTTGTAGCGCCTATAAGGAGGCAAGTGAACAACACTGACCTTAGAATGTGTGTAAGGCATATAATCAAGATGCACACCAAAAATACGGTAATAAGGAGAATTGAAATTCAACTGTTGAGAATGCAGATGGTTGCCTGATCGAATAAATTGTAGGGACAGCTTCTACCAAAATTCAGGTGAAACTGAAGATTCCAAGAGTAAGGTTCATAGTATATCCAACAAATGACGATTTTTATGTTTAGACACCCTAGTTTGTTGAGGGTTATAAGGGCTTGATTGTAGAGATATAATGCTTTTATGTTGCTAAAATGTCAGAAAGCCTTGTGACATATATCCCCTACTATTATCAGAATGTAGCAGCTCGATGCAATTAGCAATTCCTCCCGAGCAGCATAGGCAACATGAACTTCAGCCTTTTCTGTACCTGTTGACAGTTGTCTAGCCACTTTCTGTTCTTCACACAACAAGTCACCAAGACATACATCTAAAGAGGGGATTGGATTTCTACTTACCAGTCCAACTCTCACCACTTCTAATTCAGTTCTCAGTTTCATTAGAAGTTGTTCACATTTACTATCTTCACGTACTGCCTTCACTCTGACTGAGGCTTTCCATGGAACTTTAGAATCAATTATACCATTATATTAGCTCCATAAATGAATGAATCCAAAATAATACTGCTCAATAGAGAGGAGGCATCTTGGTTGTAGTTACTAGTTCAAGTTGAAATCTTATTATCTTATGATATACATGCTTCAAATTACCCCACATCTTATTTATGTATTAAAGGAGCATAAATTGTTCATCATTTGAGTTCAATAGATGCTAAAATCCAAGTAATAGTACTAGCAACCTTTGCCTCCCATTGACTTCCCATCTTCAGGTGCTGTAGAAGACCCATGGATATGACTCCAAACTTCTTTCCATTTTAGGAACATCCTAAATTGAATTTCCCATGCTGCATAATTTATTCCAATTAGCTTCATACCCAAAGATTCTGTATGTGTTTTTTCCAAAAAGTTTTCCACAAATATTCTTTCAAAGAATACAATAAGAGACCAAATTGCAAAAACAACTACCAACCACAATATGATTGACCCAAAAAGGATATCTTAAAACTAAATTGATCAACATAATCCCCAAGAAGAACATCAAGTTAGAAAACTTTGAAAGGCTGAGAATTCACATAATCAGCTCTAATACTATGATAAGTTTTTGGATCAAAGACTGAATTGTCTTACTCCCTTTACACTTCAATTACTTGAGTATATACATACATTCAGGGGAAAATGGATAGACACAAATTTGATGTAACACTAATCAACACTAACCAAGTACTAATAATACCCATCATGAATATACAACTATTACACAGGATAGAGCAGGTTCCATAATTTCAGCAATCAGCCATCAAATCCCCAAGCTTGCTCGGCTTGATTATTGGCTTGGATTAATAGACCATAATAGTATCTCAATTATATCTGCGCTTGTTGATAATCACTACATCTTACTGTCGACTCCTGGAAAGTTTTCTTTTAATGATGTTCTGTTTTTTCCATATCTGAAGAAAGCTGTTCCTTTAATGCAGAACCGTTTTGTCATTGCCTCCAATTATTAATGGTTCACAGTCAGCGATTAGTTTGAAGACCAAGAATGTTTTTATTGAATGCACTGCAACTGATTTGACGAAAGCCAATATTGTTTTGAACACAATGGTAATGAGCAAGACTGAAAGATGCCTCTCATTTTTGGCACTGGCTATCTCTCTTCATTTTTATGATTGCCTATTGGCATGCAGGTAACCATGTTTTCAGTCTATTGTGAGAACAAGTTTGAGGTTGAACCAGTTGAAGTAATATACTCTAATGGAACATCATATGTTTGCCCTGATTTGGCGCTTTACCAAATGGAGGTCCCCTTATCTTACATTTCCAGTGTAGTTGGTGTTCCTCTTCCAGCTGATGAGGTCACTTTCTGTCCCTTGATCTATTTTACTTCTCTTAGTTTTAGCCTTAGCTATATTTTTCAAGTTGGTTTATCTGTAATTTTGTCCTTTTTAATGCAATGTGTTTCATCACAAATTATTTCTAGTGTGCTGTCAAAAATTATGGAGATAGATAATACTATTTCATGTATTATATATGTTGTCCCTACTGTTGTGTAAGACAAAGTAGCATTTGCTAAACCCTACCATTGCTCTGTGTTTTATTGAAAGAAGTATATACTACAGTCTTTACCTGAAGGATTTCTCATTTGGCTGTTTGTTGTATATGTAATAACTGTAGCACAGTTTGTTTTCTTTGTCTTTTGTTTCTTTTCTGGTTTAATATGTATCTCCTTGCTGTGATTGAAGTTATTCATACAGATTAGTACCATCTTCATGTGTTTGCTGTAATCATAACAAAATAAATCTTTGGAGCTTGCATTGACTGGGATAGAATTGCAGGTTTCTCACTTGTTGAATAAAATGCAATTACATGCTAAGCACTCGATATTGGACTGCAAAGAGACGATCTTCACAATATCTGTTCCTCCCACAAGAAGTGACATTCTTCATCCTTGTGATGTTGCAGAGGTACTTGTTTTTGCTTCTTTTATTGCGCCAAATACCAGCTTTATCTGCCTGTGATTGTCCTTAATTTTGGCGTTTTCTCTTCATCTTGCATTCAAGGATGTGGCAATTGCTTATGGTTATAATGAAATTCCAAAGATCAAATTTCCATCGCTGAAACCACAGTCATTGAATGAGTTCAAAGATCTTATTCGAGCTGAGGTAGGAATTATACAAGCATCTATCCAGTTGTTTCTGATCATCGTTCCTATGTCAGTAAAAATTCAACCTTCTATGTTAATAATTTCATCATGGGTTGTTGTGTGTAATGGGATCTTGAAATTTTGCTTATCCTTAGATTGCCATGATTGGTTATGCGGAGGTGTTAACCTGGATACTCTGCTCCTACAAAGAAAATTTCACAATGCTTAACCGCAAAGATGATAAATCAACAGGAGCAATTATTGGAAACCCTCGTTCAGCTGATTTTGAGGTTTGTTACATATGAACTATTAACCTGATTGCAGCATTTTTTCCCCCTACATTTTACCTAACTTAAAAGGTCTTTGCTCTCTACTTTTCAGGCTGTGCGCACTAGTCTTATGCCTGGCATACTGAAAACTGTTGGACACAATAAGGACCATCCAAAACCCATAAAAGTATGTGAGATGCCTTGTGATTTTTTTATTATTTTTATTTTCCTTCGTAATTCAACTCCATTCATTCCCCACGAAGAGGAATAATAAGTATAAATCATGGAAGTTGTTTAGCTTATCATTATTTTGTAAATATAGCTTAAAGTTGTTGGCTTGATACGCACTGTACTAATTTCTACTTTCTACATCACATCTTTTCTTCTACGCTGGTATAACTCCTTATTCAAAGTGGACTATGTCGGGCATTGTTTGGGTAATTTGGATTCATAGAAACTGGAACTATTGCTATGATATATCTAGGACAGATTTAAAAATTCTTGTAAACAATATATATATTATTCAAAATTAACTTATTATTTGACTGCTGGACTTTCCTTTTTGGTTAGATTTTTGAAGTAGGTGATGTGGTGCTATTAGATGAGGCAAAGGATGTTGGTGCGTCAAACCGTCTTCATCTTGCAGCTTTATACTGTGGAGCTACCTCTGGATTTGAGGTTATTACTTGTAAATTATTATTATTTTTATCATCATCACATCACATCACATCACGGTGATAGATGAGTCATGAACTTTATTCATGATTACCCTTTTATATGCTATTAATGCTAACAATTTGATTATTGACTTGGTTCTGTAAAGAATATCACAACTAGAATTTGAAAATGTGATGCAATTTTCTTGTTGGCCATTTTGTTTTCAGTTGATACACGGTCTTGTGGATAGAGTCATGGAGATGATTGGAACACCATTTGTATCCCCTGGGGATAAGACGGGCTACTATATTCAGAGTTCAGATGTATGTCCCTACCTGCCTATTTAGTATTTTGTCTGTTGTTGGGTTTCTGGTCATACCAACGGGCTAAATTGTTATACTTGTTTCAGGACCCCGAGTTTCTTCCTGGCAGACAAGCAAGCATCATTAACAAAGGAAAGCAAATTGGAACATTCGGGATTGTGCATCCGCAGGTATGAATGGGTACAATCCCTTGTGTTTTGGTTTTGGTTGATTCGATCTTGGATGACTCCACGTTTGTCGGAATTCCTCTTCCAGGTGTTGGAAAACTTTGATATTCCAGACCCATGCTCCTTTGTGGAGATGGACGTCGAGAGCTTCCTCTAGAAGGTGCATCCTTGACCTTGAAGAATGGAAGGGTGTGGTTTGATTCTTCATTTTTGGATGCCTCTTGTTCTTCTATTCTTGCCATAATTTAGTTGAGATCAAGCAAACACTATTATTTATCGGTTGACTTCTGGTTGGTTGCATTACATTTTTGTATAATTTGAGATGATGGTGAAATTGAATCTGTTCAGAGATTATTATTATCATACTGTTATTATTATATGTGCTGAACATAATCCTGTTGCAATAATCAAAGCATCAGTTGCTTTAAGGTTATTTTCATATAATACAATTTTGGAGTAATGAAAAGATTTTAAAATGGTAAAAAATTATTATTTGAAGTAATATTTTGTAAGTTAAAATAAGTATTCGATGAGATGTTTAAAATATGAAAATAAAAATGAAAATTTGTTGATAAGCAAGAAAGTTCCAAAAATATTTCTGTAGTATAAATCTTCATACCAGGAACAACAACGCATATGTGCCAAGTGATCCATAGCTTATGAAATATCTAAGGTTGAAGGTTGTGTTTTTTTTTTTTTAGTTTACTATTCGGATTTTTCTTTTTTCTTAAAAAAATTTTATATCAAATAATTAATTTTTTTTTTTATATTATACTATAAATTTATTTTACATTCAAAACATCACTTTAATGTCTATTTATATTACATCAAACAATTATTCAAATTCAAATTCAAGAGTAAAAAATCTAAACCCAAAATCCCAAACCCACAAACACACACACCCTACACCCTAACTAGCAAATTAAAGGCCCTTCATTCGGGTTTGCATTAGCCATTTCTGTACAAATGTCCAAGAAATTGTGAAGTTTCTGAGTGATTACAAGTATTCCAAAGAATACAATAGAATTCCAATCAAACAGAAACTCCCCTTATATGTACCAACAAAAATTACCTTCAATTGCTTTAAAAGATGAAGCTATATTTCTGGCTACAAGAAGCCGTGAGCACATTTGCACAAGTCTTCCCTGAAAGCACAAGCACAGGCAGCACACAAAAACGAAACCAACAGAAAAGCAGAAGCTCAACATGCGGCCGTTTCAGAATCAGTCGAAAGCAAGAAAGAAATAACAGCCTTAATCCCCAAATAAACAAACTATAAATAAAAATACGCACAACCTGGGAATCATTGCAACTTATAACATCACCGATGGTTCTCAACAACCAAGAACCATCCCAGCCAAAACCCATCCCCTGCAGATAATTAATACCGTAGACTTGAAATAGAAACCATTTTTAATTAATGCAGAACAACTTGCAAGATAAAAAACAGCAACCTAATTTCACAACCAAAGTATGATGTTTCTGATAGAAGAAATGAAACTTAAAATTCAGATATCCTCCCTCAAGCATCATCAGCAAAATAAGGCACACAATAAATGCTTCCATAAACAGGCAATGAATTGAGAGAGAGATAAGAGCACAGCATGAGTCTGTAGATAAGATTAAGTAGTAGTTAAGCTTCTGCAGTTGCTTGGGTCAATCCCGACTTCACCAACAACTTGTTGAGGTTGTCCGCTGGGCATATCTGGAACTTCACTTTCCCAGAAGACAAAAATATCTCAGCAAGTTCAAGTTTCTCTGAGTTAAGGCTTGTGCTATCCATTGTTTTGCTGAGTACCTTAAGAGCAAGCTGCACAGCCTCTTCTCTAGTGATCTCATCTTTGTAATCCTGCTTGAGTATCGATTGTGCCGCTTGGTTATTAGCTCCAATTGCCGCAGCCTTCCAACCTGCATAATTCCCACTGGGGTCGCTCATGTAGAGCTGAAACCCAAAATTCTTGTCCCAGCCTGCAAAGAGGAATGAAACACCAAAGGGGCGAAGACCACCAAACTGTGTGTAGCCTTGTTTGGTGTCACATAAAGACTGAACTAGCTGTTCGACTGGCATTGGCTCTTGGTAAGCATAAGCATACCGCTGAGCCTGGAGCCTTGCTGTGTTGATCAGAATGTTGGCATCAGACATGATTCCTGCCACGGCACATGCTACATGGTCATCAATCTTGTACATCTTCTCCACTGACCCAGAGGTTTCGAGCAGTTTGGATATGACTTTCTTTTCACCAACTAATACAACTCCATCTTTAGCTAAAATTCCAATAGCACTCCCTGCATTTCCAATAGCCTCCATTGCATATTCAACCTGGTAAAGGCGGCCTTCAGGAGAAAAGATTGTAGTACGGCTATCATATCTTCGAGACATCTGCAAAATCAGAAATAGATTCACATTGTTCAAAAATAAACCTAATAATTCAAGGAAACAGAACTCTATCAGCAACAAACAGCAGAAAGATAAGTTAACTATGCCCATTTTAGAAGGTTAAAGTTTCCATCAATGGAGCTTTCCTATAATTATAAAATGCTCACTAAGCCTGCTCACTAATTTACATCCACACTGTGCCTCGGATTTAAATCCAATACCTCTACTTTGGCATCAAGCCACTACTTTTGAAGAGCTGAACTTTCACAAATCTGAGTGAACAGGGAATTGAACAAGACAATTCTCAAATCACCAGAAAAATGCACCCATTCAACACTTCTTTCCAGGAGGGTTGGGGGCAGGTGGATAGGGGTATGTGCTCATTCCAATGAGAATGATAAAAGGCAAGGAACCTCACAAATTCTTAGAGTGATGCCAAAGAGCAGAAAGATTTAAACCTGAACCAGCAGCAAAATAAGAAATACAAGCCACTTGCAATTGAAGTGTTCAAATCTCCATTTACTGTCCCCACTCAAAAATTTGAGTGGGTGAATCTCATGAAACTCACCCTCACTCACACCCATTTTATACCAAGGAGCTCAGAGAGGGATCCATAGCAGAGCAGATTCCAGAGCTCTATATTCATAAATCATAATAGCTGATACCTAAAATGACGACCTACAACTTACAAAGATGAGTTGCAAGCAGCATCTAATTATTTTGAGTCAATCAGAATATCAATTCTTATGCCAATTGTAGCAGTTCTTCACAAACATCCCAAGACTTCTATTCATTACTAATTTCTTCAATACTTGTAAAAGGATTTGAAGTCAAGACACCAAAGCAGCCGTTCATATTCATAAAGAAACCAATTTTCAGTCTCAATGAAATATATGTGCCAGAAGGATTCAGGCCAATCCCAATATCAACCAGCCACGCAAAAATGGAAAAGCACATCCAGCGCACAGATATGAATTTCTAGTAGTATACAATAACGCACTTGAAACAAAAGGTACAAATTTGTGTTCTTAAATTGTAAGTAGAGATGTGTGCGAGAAATGAGAACGATGCATTCGAAAACCTGATTTCAATAACATATCCTCAATCAACAAGGCAATGGGATTCACAATAAAGCGGATGAGTGAGGAGCAACTGGAAGAAACACTTACTGTTACTGATCAAAGACGAAAACGCAGCAAGAGAGAAAAATTGTGCTTCAAGAAACGTAGGCCGGACGAGAGCAAGGTGCGAAGTGGGGAAGGGAAGGAATTCACCTTATATTTTTTAGTGCGGGTGCGGGTGCGGGTACGGGTACGGGTGGGTCGGTCTCTTTTCAAACAATACTGCTACCCTTCCATTAATATTATTATTGAACTCAGGCCCAAATGATTAACGTGGGCTCGATCTATATGGGCCCTAATTAATACAGAAAGTTCATTGTGTCCAACAATTTTTTGGTGACGAGCAAAATTATCCCTGATCCCATTGAATATATAACATTTAGTCATATTCCTCCGTCTCACATAATTTGTTTATATTTTTTAATTTTCGTCTATCCTACATAATTTTTCATTTTTCTTTGAAAAATTGATTATACACTTTAATCATATTTTTAAATTTAAATTTTTTTATAATTTTAATTAAACTATTTAGTTATCTTAATCTTAATCTATAATTATTTTTACTAATACACTTCTTAATTACTTATTAATAATACTTTATCTAAATTCTCGTATCTACAGTAATATGTCCATCTTATCTAGGACGGAGAGAGTATTTTTTATTTCATTCAAAACATTCAATTGAAAGTAATTTTTAAAAATATTTCTCAGTGACTTCTATTATTATCTTCTAAATTTTAACTATAACAAGACTTATTACTTTTATTAATAATTACAACAAGTTACTTAAGACACACATATTATTTTTATTTTAAAAAAAAAATCATTACTTCTAATAAAAATAATTAAAAATTAATTAATTAACTATTACCTAAAATTTAAATTTTAAATTTATCAATAAAAAAATAATTTAAATTTATTTCAAAATATCACATACACCTATATATTTTAAAATCATATTATATATATATATATAGATATCCAATTTCAATATTTATTTTTTTTTAAAAAAAAGTTATATTCAATTTAAACTATCTGACCAATAAAAATAGTAATTTTTTCAACTAACCTTTAACAAAACTATTCGAAAAAAATAAAATAAAATTCCGGGCAATGCATTAATTCAACTTTATTTCAATATTAAATTTTAAATACCAATGATCTCACACATTCAAATAATTTTAATATTCAAAATTATAATAATAAAAATATATAATATTATCAAAATTTATATATATTAATAATTTTAAATTAAATTAAAATATAATAATATTATATAATATATATATTATAAAAATATATAAAACTAAACAATTATTATAAATTTTTTAAAAATTATAAAGATAATGGGTTAAAGATTATGATACTATGACGGATGTTAACAAGAGTAATTTGAATGTTAATGTGGATATGGTGTGGATGAGAGAGCTAAACAAAAAAATGTAATGAAACCCAACAAAATGGTTAATAAAGACAAATAAGAGCGCTGACGTGGAGCTGATATGTGAAAAACATAGTGTGTTCTCTAAAAGCAATCACAAAGGGTTAATAAAGGAGGCACTTCCCTTTATTTTGAAGGCAACAATCAAAATTTAACATATACAATTGACCTTTTGTGGCGGCCAAAATTTCAGACGCCCATCCCTATCGCCTCATAAAGTAGAGGCCTTGACAATTATCTTCTCTTTGCATCCCGCTCTCTCATTTTATTCTCCCAATCCAATCTCATTCGCTAGCACCATAGTCATTTTCAACATCCGTTGAACTCAAATTTTACCAGGGAGCTTGTAAATCGTCGGTCTATAAACCCTACAAATCTATACAAATTTTCAATTAAATCCCTAATTTCAGAGAGTTCGCTCAACCAATTCTAGAAAACTTAAAAAATACCTCACCACACAATTCGATACAAAAACGAGTAGAATGAAAAAAAAAACAAGAAAGATGCCTGATTTAGAACCAAAATCGAAATGGAGGATGGTTACGGCGGAGGAGCACTTTTTTGAGGGGTTTGGAAGGGGAGGAGAGAAAATATCCTTTTTTTTTTTTTCTCTTAATATATTTATAAAATTACTTTTCAAATAAAAACTATTGAATAGTTTAATCATGATTTTATCCCAAATACATCCAAATTGCCTTGACCGTAAGTGGAATGAAACAATTTCTTTTTTCACTATTGCAGTTGTTCTAATGAACATGCTCGTGTTGAAACGTGTGTATATAAATACACGCATCTATTGTTTGATATGACATAGTATTAATTTACCACATGCTTCTTGCTATTACTTCTCTGAAAAGAAACATAGTCTTCATTATGTTTAGTCTAATCATTAATCCTTATTTACATTTTATCATCTTTTTCTTTTCTCTTTTTCTATATATATATATATATATATAATATGTTACTTGAATAAACAATAGAAGTATTCCTAAGAGAAGATATTTGAAAGTTCCCTGAGTTCAGATATGAAAAAAAAAAAAAAAAAACTAAATTTAATTTTATATAAATATATATACACACATATGATCATACTTAGTTTAATTGTTACAAAAGCCTTGGAAAAATTGCCTTGGAATTTAAAAGAGTTCCGAGGCAAATTATTTTTTTTCTCGGATTTTGTTTCGGAACTGTATCCGCAGAGAAAAGGCCGTCGCCATTTATGTTGGTTCGGAAATTCCGAGGTTAATTTCAAAAGCTTTGGAATTTCCTCGAAATTTCCGAAACTATTGTTGAACTAAAAAATGGTGTAGTGTGGGACGCATGAGTTGAATAGCCTCGGAATATTCCGAGGCTATTCAACTCACACGCCAATGCATTTCATATGGCCTCGGATATTTCCAAGGCCATTCGACTCACACGCTTGTGTATTTCCAATGCCCTCGGAAAATACGAGGCCATTTAGTGGCAGTGTTAATTTGAAGTTTCAGAAGCATTAACAAATTTTTTCTTTTTCTCTCGATTTTTATATTTATTATAGTAATTTCACATGGCCTTGGATATTTCCAAGGCCATTAGACTCGCGCGCTTGTGTATTTCCAATGCCCTCCGAAAATACGAGGCCATTCAATGACACTGTTAATTCAAAGTTTCAGAAGTATTTACAAATTTTTTCTTTCTCTTGATTTTTATATTTATTATAGTATATATAATTATATTTACTGGGAGTTATATACCGGTAACTAAAAATTTAATATAAAAAAATAAACTACAAATATGAAGAAAATTTTATATCAACCAAAATCGTAGACATCACGAACAATTTCGACAAAAGGGTACAAAATATACGTTTTTATTGAAATTCGCATTCAACTATACATTATACAATCGATTAATCTAACAAAATGTAAGGGCACGTCGAATACGAGACTTTCATAATATAACAAAATAAGAGTAGTCACAGGCCACAAGTTCATAATGCACAATATCTCGATCGGTAGGAAAATTAGAGTTTTTATTTTTCTACTTACGAACATCATTGATACTCAGTTGGAGTTATTGTTTTATCCGAGTCCCTACTATCATCGTCGTCATTCCCGGATCCGTCGTCTACATCATCATCTCCATTGATTGCTCCAACCACATCATTTTCATTTGTTGCCATAAATGGGTTTTCGAGAAGGCCCTTGCTGGCAAGAAGTGGAAATAAAAGCCCGGTGTTGGGTTTTTTTTTTTGACACAAAAGCCTCCAATATTATCGCAACACTCCGTTGCACCTACCACAAATTTATCGTCAGGTATTACAACAATAGTATCCTTCAAAGTAACTATATAACAACAACTAGATACGTTTTCATCATAGAAAAATAGAAGAGATAGTTGTGTAGTTCTTTTAACATGGATTTGATTGTTTTTATTAGTCGAACAAAGTATCGCAACAGATTATGTCTAAACAAAATTGATATTGTGCTCACTAACATAATAAATGGTACATGGTTGAAATAATCAAAATAAAAATATGAAAAGATGTTAAACGTTCAATAATTTAACAAAACATGTATTACTTGTATCATCATCATTTCCTGACGTTGAAGAGCATTTTAGGTCTGTCTCAAAGCTTCTTGTTGAGCTTCCATCTCTATTTCCGAAGGGTAGATGTGAGTCTGTGGGGTGTTATGGACGGCACGCGAACTAGATCCACATAATACTACTCTTGCGGTGCTCCCTTGTGAGCCGAGCCCTGCCACTCGACCTTTCTTATCATAGCCCCTGTAAGACTTGATAAGCTCATTTATCGATGTAAACGTAGTTTACGTGTATTCTTTACAATATTTCTTCAAAACTCTCCTACATTTCCAATAATGGATTACACAAGGAAGTGATGTATCAACAATAACTTAACATTTTGCAAGTAATATCACACTCATGCATTTCCATCAAATTTGAGTAATTTTTCATTTATTGAGATATATGAGATTCATTTTTCATGTAAAACATGTTGTGCACATAGATAAAGAATAGTATACCACTATCTCGGCTAGCTTCGTAGAAGGATACGTTCCATCCTTTTGTTTCCAACGGTCATAGAGCTCAATTGTAGAGGGAGGTCGACCCAAATTCTCTTCCTGTTAAACAACCATGCAAATGTTATATTAAACAATAAACAACAACTAATGTAGTTATTGCTGTGAAAATTAAGCTCGATCGAAAACCTTTAAATTTAAATATACATGTTCTCACCATTTTTTTTGTACAATATCCATCAACCACGCTCCGCCTCTATACTTATTCAACAATGCATCCTTATTTTTAATCTTGTTTTCCTTGTTGCGCTCCCGAATTTTTAGATACTCCGGGCTTGTAAACTTGCTAATCATGCCGGCGTGCAACTCTGGCTTGAGCCATTATGACAGCTTTAATTTATTTCGGGCGTCCCTTAAAGCCCGCGATAAATTTCGTCGACCCTTTTCTCTCAAATAGGGTCCGAATGTTCCCCTCATCCGTAGCGTCCCAGCGATATAAATTCTAAATGTCATATCAGAAGAGAGTATTGCATTTATTTAAGGCATTCATCTTATATGACACTATATAACTTAATATATACACTCGATTATATATTCAACACACCAAATAAATGAATATGATCTACTTGAAGCATAGATAAAATCCATTTTGATATTAAAGAAATATGTAAATGCGTTAGGAAAGTTAGGTCATAAAAATATTACAACTAATCATGAACATTGAAACCATCGATCCCGTGTATCACTTGGAACTTCAAACCATGTTATACACCCATCTGTAAAATTTTGAGGTGACGATCTTTCGAATTTGTTTACTGAGACCAGCGGTGGCACTTCACAACAAAACACAACACGTCAACCACTGAGCTTTACCTCGTGATTTCCTACATAGGTAAACACAAAATACGCGTATGAACCATATTTTTTTTACTGAAAAGTCCCTGACGAAATAGTCTGTCGATTATCTGGCAACAGTGGTTGTTCGTCACGGTCTTTACACCTGGCTGCGTTCTGCTTTGCCTCGTCGAACATGTCCTCGTCGTGCGGGTAAAGTGGCGGTTTATTTTCCATCACTGTAAAAAATGATGATATAGCAAACGGTTCATGAAAGCCGCAATATCTCATTTACAACTGTGAATAAGCGTGATTGATGCGCCGGAAGGAACGTGGACCGTGGATTCGAACCCCGCTTTTAGGAAATTTTAATTGCCCATCCAAAATATTGACGTACAACCTGCTGTAAGAGTAAGTCATTTATTGTGTATATACAATAATAACAAAGAGTATAACAATAATGATTGAATATTAATTCGGATGATATTACATTCAAAACATATAAGAGATCTATATTCAAACTTTTATATAATACATTTTGGATATAGGCATGCTAACAATACATAGTAATTTAGGTGTTGGCGAATATATCTCGTATTATAATAAATATATGTATGCATACATATAATAAAAGACTGTATAACTCAACAGGACAAATAAAGAAACAAATAATCTAAGTATTAGCTTTAAAATTATTTTATTATGTTGTTGCTTTATATTATTCAATCCTTTCCCGAAAAAGAGAGGTCTAACAAATAAAAGGATAAATACTTCTGGGGATCACTAATTGTGATATTATCTGTTAAACAGAACCAAATTTCCACCGCAAAATCAAGATTCGCAACAAAGTGAGCTAACAAGTCTTTGCTTAATCACTTTTTTTAGTATAACATATAAATATATATATATATACATATATATACACATTGTGTACAAACAGATCTTAGTGCTCTTCAACGACAACATTGAACAAGGTGTTTGGATCAAGGCATCCTTTTAAAAAATTAAAAAAAAAAAGGGGCATTATATTATATAATCACCTAACGATAAAACATAATAATACAATCAGACTAGGAATTTAGGACACACTCACATTTTGTTACGCAAGCCCACTCACCTCGATTTACCTAGGATTACCTTCAGGAAATGTAGAAACTTCCACAATCCGTAAACAATTTCATTCCAAAAATTGGATATAAGTAAAAGCTATCGGCAGGAACCAGCAAGTTTCGTATTTACTGGAATTTCGGGAGAAGAGACAACATAGGAAAGATACCGTCGGACGCTTGGGTGTCATGCCGGTTGTGGGAGGAGGGGGTGAAGCGGGTCACAGGCCGGTGGTTCGAGGCTGGTGATTCCATGGCATCGTGGTCGTTATCAAGGAAGGAGAAAAACGAACAAAAGAGCGGGATGTGAAGAAGAGGGTTTTTTTAGGGTTCGATCACTGAATTATTTAATCAATGGGTTTCTTAAAATTGGGAAAAGAAGAGGCAGGAAGGAAGAGAGAGAGACAGAGGTGAGAGAAAAATGGTGGCATAGATTAAATAATAAAATTACCTTCGGAAAGACCGAACCTTTTAATTTGGTACATTAAAATATTAAATACTATCTTCATTCAACTCTTAACAAACTTATTTATTTTTTCATGTTGATCTTTAAATATTAATTATTATATAAAAATATAGTACAAATTAAAAAAAAATTACAAAAACGTTTTCATTTCGAAAAATCCCGAGTCTTTTTTATTTTCTAATTTAATTTAAATATATAAAGGATTGTCTTCGTAAATCCGAGAGTTTCTTGGATGACTTTGGATTGTTGCTTTGGAATCTTCCGAAGCCATATATTTTATAAAACAAAAATTATGTATATATAAAATTAGCTTTGGAAAATTCCGGTACTTCTTTATTTCTAATTTAATATTAAATATATAAAGAATTGTTTCCGAAAATCCGAGGCATGTTTTGGATGACTTCGGATTATTTCTTCGGAATCTTCGGAATTTAATATTAAATATATGGCTTTGGAACCTTCCGGAACCTGCTGAACATTTTTATGACTTTGAAGAATTGCTTCGGAATTATCCGAGGCTATATACTTCATCATATCATATCCTATCCTATACATATCTATGGCACAAGGGTATGGGCCCCACATTTATAATTTTCGCAATCTCTTTTTTTTTTTGAGTTTTTAATTTTTTTTATTGGTTTTTTCAAAATATATAAACATATAATTTTTTTTAGTTACTCAATTACAGTTTTTTTGTTTTAAAAAAAATAATGGGATAGTGAGGTAGTTTCTTAATTTAGTTTTTGAATTTAATTTGTATATCATGTAATACAAATGTATATGTGTAGTGTATTCTCTCAATAATTTGGAAAAATCAGAATATCGGTGATTAGCCTTAGACGTTGGATTTCAGGAAAGTTGGTTGAAAGTTCGTTAAAAGCTCGCCAAGAATTTGGTGACTCTCCCTTCTGCCTCATACTATATTTATTTTTGGATTTAATTAATCAATTTTGGATAAATTTTATTTTTTAATTATATGTTTTGCAGATTTTTTTTTTATTTGTTTTGCAGACAATGTGAAAAAAAAGAAAAAGATTACACTTAAGATTCATTTATAATTTTAATATATTTTGTAAATATTTTTTAGTTTATTTTGTTTTGCAAATAAATTATGATATATAGAAGAAGAAGGTAAAAACATAATATTCATTAATATTTTTAATATATTTTGCAATTATTATTGTATGTATAATATTATCGAACACATTTTTCTCGATGTGCATGATGTCTAAATTGTGTCGTATGAGTAAGTCTTTCCAGTACGGAAGATCCCAAAAAATACTTCGTTTTGTCCATTTGTGTACTTGTCCATATCCGTGTGTTCGTTTTTCAAGTGGATCGTCCACAACTCGTGGTATCATACGAAGCCATTCCCATACCACCTCCCCAGACAAACGATCTCGTGTCATATCAGTCTCCACCTTTTCTCGTATAAATCCTCTACCATCATTCCTAAATGTATATACGCTGGATTGTCATCCATACATACAGGACATCCTAACATCCCAACCGTGCTCCATCCAGACACCATACCATACGAAGGAAAATCACCAATAGTCCACAATAGAGCAGCACGCACCCGAAAATTGTGCATTGTGTATGCATCATATATTATGTGCTATTCTTCCCAAAGATCGACCAACTCTTCGACAAGAGGTTGAAGACAAAAATCGAGGAGCTTCTTGGGGTTCGTTGGTCCAAGAATGAGCACTGATAAAAACATATATTTTTTCTGCATACAAGTACCTGGTGACAAATTGTACGGAGTTAGAAATACGGTCCAACACAAGTAATTCCCACTGTAAGTACCAAACGGTGCAAAACCATCAGTACATAGTCCGAAATGCACATTCCTAGGATCTCGACTAAACTCCGGATGAGTACGATCAAAATGTTTCCATGCTTCACTGTGGCAAGGGTGGCTCATTTTCCCGTCTTCGTTAGAGTGGGTAGCATGCCACCACATCGCATGCGCGGTTTCTTTGAACTTGTACAATTGTTTAAGACGTGGCTTTTTAATGGGAGGTAGATCATCTGTGACGCTGGGACTTTCTTACGCCAAGATCTTGTTCTCCACCTAGATACGCCACAATAGTCGCACCTGTCTAACTACTCTTTGTCATTCCAAAACAACATACAGCCATCCACGCAACAGTCAATCTTCAGAGTTGGCAACCCCTTATCTGAAGTCAATTTTCGTGTGTTGTAATAGTCTTTTGGCATATTATTACCAACAGGCAGTGCTCGCTCACACATTATACAAAGATCGTCATATGCACCATCTGATATGTTGTTTTGTGCCTTAATGCGCAACATCTCAGTCACAATCGAAAGTTTTGTTTCACCAACACAACCTTCGTACAGGGGTTTATCTGCCATCCGTAGTGTGTCACTTAATCTGGGAGATGTCACTTCCTGATCTAAGTGTTCATAAAATGGAGAATTTGCAACTCCTTCGAATCCATCATGATCGATCGCATCATCGCTGCTATCCGCAGCAACTGGCGTGACTATAGATGCCCAATCGGTTTGCCTTTTATTTTGATTATAGTTGGATCCGACTCCCACGTAACAGCTACTCGGAAATGTCAACACCTTACCATGAAATAACCATGTATGATAATTTGCAATAAACCCCCCTCTGAGTAGGTGTACCGTGACTTCCTCGGGGCTTCTATATTTATTTTTGCACTTCAAACATGGACATAAAATTTCTGCTCCGACGACCCAACCGTGTTGTACTTGTGCCCATGTTACAAAGTCTGCCACACCTACTTCAGATTGTGGAGACAATCTATTTTGGCCCTCAACTTCTCTGGAATACATTCATGCTCTTGGAGAGTTGGGGTTCATATGTGCTGTGAACATTAACAGTAAAAAATGATTGGAAAGTAAGGTAATGCTATTAAGAAAAAGAATTTGATTATCAAATAAATTAAAATTCAAACGCGGTAGTTATTATTAGAACAAATTTGTATTGAAAGAAAAGGAAAAAACACAAACAATCAATTTGATTACATAAATTATATATTGAGTTTCTCATTGTTATGATATTTAATTTTTAAATAATTCAATTAACTAAGACAGTAAGTAGAAAATTGTTGCATTCTAGTACATTATGTAAATGTCTAAAATATTTAAATAATCTAAATAAAAAATAAATAGACTTTAAAAAGTTAAAACAAAAATATGTAACACATCTTTATTTAATAATCTAGATAATTTTATAAATTTCGACAAATTATAAATACACTAAAATATATTTATGTAAAATCAACTCATGATATATACAAAAATCAACAAACTATAGCTCTCTCACTGAATTAATAGGAGATATATTCCAATTATGTGAATATTATAAAGTGATTGTGAAACTAGAAAAATAATTGTAGCATTTTAAATAGAAAATGCTTGTACTCAATTAAATATATAAATTTATTTTCGAATTTTCAAAAACTAATTGTAAAACATATCTCAACTTGAAAATAAAATAATATTACTAAATTTTATTTATTAATCTAACAAAAAAAATTAGTAAAATATATAATATATATTTAACAATAATAAAAAGTAACTAAATAAAAAGAATTTAGCTGAATTTCATAATAATTAATTAATAAACTTTAATGATAAATTAATATATAAGCATTAATGTTTAATGTTAAAAGTAACTAAATCTCTAACCAAACACTGCAAATTATAACTAAAGAAATATTAGAAATAAATAAATTTTTTATACAAAGTATACCTTATGAAGGCGGTGGAGACGAAGGCAAGTGAATGATTGAAGCCAAAGAAGCAGAAGAATTGAAGATAAGGTTGCAAGGTGGGAATAATGGACAATAGTCTCGGAATTTCCGAGACTCTTTCATAAAAAAATTATTAAATATTTTAAGTACTTGTTTCGGAAATTTTGAGACTTTTCTTGAATGGCTTCAGATATTGCTTCGGAATAGTCCGAGGCAAGGTATTGAAATAAATAACATTAGAATTAGCATCGAAAATTTCGAGACTTTTTTTTTCTAAAAAATAATATCACCATATAAAACACTGACGTCGGAAATACCGAGACTTTTTTCTAATAGATATTGAAAAATACATTAGTTTCTAATATTCGGAGACTTCTGTTTCAAAATATTAATATCACCATATAAAACACTGGCCTTGGAAATACCGAGACTTTTTTTCAAATAGTTTTGTAGTGCCGCCTTAGCCTGGCTCGAGAATAATACATCAGCCTCGGAAATTCCAAGACTCTTCTCATTCCAATTAATATTAATACACTAGCCTCGGAAATACCGAGACCTTTTCCATGTAAGGCTTGGAATCTCCAACAATGGACTCGGATTTGCCGAGACTAAAAATAAATAAAGTTAATAAAATGGTTATAATAGACTCGGAAGTGTTTCCGAGGAAATTTTCCGAGGCATTCTTACAAAATTCTGGTAGTGTACTCATTTTCGTTCCGGCTTGGATGATTTGCAAACAAGTCATTAGTGTCAATGGTCACATCTCTGTGTCCTGGGCGTAGGTACATGTGCAGCTCCATCGTTTGGCGTATGGAACATGAATAGAAAAATGTTGAAAAATATATAAGAATAATGATCTCATCTCCAACCGCATATTGTCCATCCGACGATACACCTCCATTTGCATATTGTCCAAACGGCAATGCATATTCATAGCGTATATTATCAATAATTGACCTGTCAATGGGCATGGTATCTTGAACTATGAGATGGGGTGATCATCGGGAAGTTGATCGCCTCATCTATTGGTTCATTAGACCTATCAATCAATATATATCTATCTACTCATGCTCTCGTCACTTTCCTAGTCATACCTATCATTTTCAACGTCCAAAAACCATAAGGCATCATGACATAGATCGGATCATAACATACGGG